AATTTTGTTCTTCTCCCTGCCAACCCTAACAAGAAATAAAATATCTCACAATAATTTTCTCAATTACTTATCTAGCTTCCATCATATCATTTAAAGAAGCTTTATGGATTGGACTTTTATATTCTCTTCTTAAAGAATTGTGTTAGGCCTATAAATTTTTCCTTATTAATCTATTCTGTAAACATTGTGTAAAAAGGTAACTGAGAGTTATATTAGTTTCATGACCTTTTGTCGTAAGTTGATTTATATTGTCTTATGTGGTTTTCAAAAACCATTATCAATTGTGGCATAATTAACCTTTTTTATCACTTCTAATTATTTAGACGCAAAATTTTTTTATATCAATGAAAATATTTTATACTGTAATAAATAGATTTTGTATTAAAGAATATTATATTTCGAAATGTCCTGTATTGTTCTAATTATTTATATGCTAATTTATTTAGTATTCATAATATGATAAATAACAAAATATGAAATCTATATTACAATTTTCCGATGTCCTCACTACGTCATCGTGACGTTATGTCATCGCTACGTCATGTCATCGCTACGTCATGTCATCGGTACTACAACTTTTTTTTTTATTTGTTGATTTTATTTTATTTTATTCATTCAGATGAATGGAATTGATGGTGTACACTAACCTAACATGGAAGAATTGATAAAAACAATATTCCCTCAAATTTGTAAATATGAATGAAACTTTTTATTTCACTTAATCCTTTCTTTATTTTTTAGATTACCTTATCAATTTTCATCTCATATTATCAATTACACATTAATGAAATATTTTTATACTCATCCTTATAAATAACTCTTTCTTTATTTTTTTCCCCTCCTTTAATGAATTTATTTATCACTAAATTTTATTATCTCATTCTTTTCTTTCTATCTCTATTATCTATTAATATTAACCACTATTTCTCAAAACCTTATCAATTCCTTTAATTTAATTTTTATTATTTTTATAATATAATAATTTATACCTTCTTTTTCCCCCCTTTTTTAATCTTATTTTTTAATTACCTTACAATTAATTAACCTTAATCTTAATAACATTACATTCATCATATTATTTTTTAACTTTTAGAATATGATAATAAGCTTGATAAGTCCCCTAAAAATTTTTTTCTGATGATAGCCAAACCTTATCAATTCCTTTAATTTAATTTTTTTTATTTTTATAATATAATTTATACCTTCCTTTTCCCCCCTTTTTTAATCTTATTTTTTAATTACCTTACAATTAATTAACCTTAATCTTTAACATTACATTCATTATGTTAATTTTTAACTATTAGAATATCATAATAGGCTTGATAAGTCCCCCCAAAATTTTTTTTAATGATAGTCCTCCAACTACTAGAAATATGCATATAATATTGACCCATCTACCGGTTTTACATTATTTTAATGTTTGTTTAATTTCAACAATAGTTTATTTATATTTTTGCCTGATTTCTTTATTTGTCTAGGCTAACCCTAATCCCTCACATTGCTACAAAACATGATGAATCTATTATTAAAGATAAGCAAAGAAAATAATGACGATTAAACAAACGCCTTACTCGTTCTAGAATTACTGGTAGACAAAATAATAAAGAACTACGCTTGAAATGAACTCATCTGGAGGTTTATTTTGTTTTTTTTAATCTTATGTTTTATATCTATGTTTATTTTATTTTCACCCATTTCTCCAAAAGATATTTCTATGACCACTACCACAATTCCTATGCCACCTCCGCCTATTTTTTTAACAAATATAAATATTTAATTCTGTACTATCATTCACTTCACTAGGAGATAATATAAATATTACTTTATCCGATTCTCTGAGAAACTTTCATAAATATTTAGAGGAATGTTCAAACTTGAATGTACAGTACGGCCAATTTCATTATTGTAAAATATGCAGTATTTCTGTCGTGGCCTTTATAACAATACTTACGACCATTTTATGGTTGAGTTAACATTGTTGTTCATGATTATATTTTAGAAGGGGATACCAATTCTGACACTGACAGAAATATCGTTTTGCGTGTTAAAACTTGGATGTACAGTACAGCCAATTTCATGAACTTTATTAATGGAAAAATATGCAGTAGTTCTGTCGTGGCCTTTATAACAATACTTACTACCGTTTTGTGGTTTAGTTAACATTTTCGTTCATGATTCTATTTTAGAGTGCGGACATTGACAGAAATATCGTTTTGCGTTCATAGGCATATCATCTTTATCAGGACGTATTGTGTTTTGTACACTGCTTTGGTAATCCGTCATTACTTTCATCTACAACCCTAAATGAAATGATATAAAATTATACATTAATTATTTCCTCTCAAGACGACCGCTCAGATTATTGTCACTTTTTCCATCAAAAATTAAAATGTCAACAAGGATTTGCTCTTAATTTTATCAAATACATTATAAATATTCCTCATTATTTTTTAAAAAAATTATCCTAAATTTATATGTCAATAAAAAAAAATATCTAGTGTTTAATGGCATTTTTGTAATTTAAATAGACAGCATTTTTTTTACTTAACATAAAAAAATATATAATAAAATTCTTTGACAAATAATTTCAGAAATGCAAGACATACATTAAATTTATATGAAAAACAACAATAACCTTATATAATAAACAACATTTTTTTTAGATATAATTTTAAATGATCATATTACAAAAAGTATAGTCTGTTATTTTTATTTTATTTGTCATGATTCTCTAATAAGTGGTTGCCCAGGCCTTCCCAGTTTCCCTTAATACGGAATTTACATGTTTTTTTTCCATAATAGACTTTGGTAAATCAGATATTTCGCGTTCATGTGATGATATTAAAAATTTAACTATCTCCGAGGCGGGGAAAAATTTTCAAAATTATTATGGGTAGGACTGGACTTGGAACCTCAAAATTAATATTAGCTTGCACCAATGACATATAATTATATGTCATTGGCTTGCATCTGACTTGGGAATATCTTTTACAAATTATTAAGGGTTGAGCTGGGCTTGATAAACTTTTTTAAAATGATAAGATTTTGGATGCTTCCTAATATTGTCAGCTTGAACCTGGCATGAAATATATCGTAAATAATGAATAAAAATCTCATTCCCTGTCATTTTTGACGGGCTTTCTACTAGTTTAGAATAATTGTTCAAGTTATCAAATCTTAAAATGTATTATATATTAATATAAAACCCAGCCCTTAAATTGGTGGTTGGGGGAGTATGGAGGCGAAGTCCCCTTAAAATATTTTTTAGTTGAGCCCCCTGAGATTGTATAGGCTAGCAAGGTATCTAAAATAGAGGTCCAAACCTACACTACTTATATTCCAAAAATATGCAACAACATAATATAAATGCGTTAATCTTGATTTTACATCATCGTACACATACATAAGTAATAATTTTCTATCTTCAGACAGGAATTCCGCCCATGTAATTATAAATGATTTTATAATTTCCTGGATCACTTTACCCCAGTAATAAGAATTTAGATATTTAACTTTCTGTCCGTAGGAAGACGCCGTTAGAATCGTTTAACAAATTTCTCATATGAAATGGCTCTTTTTTGTTTGTCCATAGGTGGGCGCCATTTGATTTGTTTCGTGAATAGGAATAAAAAATGCGGCATTCAATTCATATGCGGACAACATTGAATTAGTTACAAGAATTTCCCAAAAAATGCAGCTTTACAACGAGTTATCATATTTCAGCAAAATGATTAATACATTAGAATAAGAAAAATATATAAACTTATCATATTTCGGAAAAAATTTTATCCTATATGATTTTATTTCATTCCAAATTATATTTTTTCTCGAAAAAACGATTTTGAATAATTTAATGAATATCTTATATTTCGCTATTCCAATAATAATATCCCCAAATATTAGCACTTGAAAGCCTATATGATTTTCCTCTGAATAATATAAAATCGTAATGTAGAAACACGAATTAGCATATCTCAGATGAATGATTATGATTTATTTGAATAATTTCCTATATGAATTTATTTTCCTAGGAAAAAATATATTTGATAATATAGTATTTCCAAATTATGAGATATTTAATTTTTTCCGTTATCCTCTTCTTTATAATTCAAAATTTGTATAATATTTTATACATTTGGATATCATTATAATTTACCTTTGAATAATTTTGATATCAATAATATGAATATCCGTAAAATAACTATTATATCATAGAATAATTTCTTTTCTCAGATTAAATCCTAGTTTTTTTATAAAATCAATGCCATTATTAAATTTTGTTACGAATATGTGAAAAATATAATCGTATCAATTTATATAATGCAACCTCTCTATAGGTATCAGATTTGATCATTTAAAAACAAGATAAACGATACAATAGATGTAATTTAAGATCCAAAATATTAATCAATTAAAAGTTTGTAAAAGAAATGTGATACCGATCACGAACCAGCCTGTCTAATAACAAGGAAACATGACTGGAATTATTAATCCTACATGAGATTTCTTATGATATTTATTAAATTAAAAATAATTATTGTCTTATTAAAACTGTTTAAATAAATGTCTAATCATATTCTTGTTAATAACATAAATTTATTTTATATTGGTGGGAGGGGGGGGGCTGTTTTGTCTACTTCTTCATGAGAGAAATAATATTTCTGCCAACATACCCAGATATGTTCTAAAATTTCCTATTCTATTTTTACACATAAAAGATATGGGGAGTAAGAAGCATTTCTATTTTCAGTTATCTAGCTTTGCTGGGGGAAATCATAAAACTGCGTATGCTTAATTTTACCGAAAAATATTTAATCTTCGTTTCTGTAAAAATATTGACCTAATCTAATTGTGCTCTTAATCACAGATTTAGAAAACTAATTAAATTAAGTAGTTTAACTTGCCCTATGGTCTCTATTTCTTGTTTTATCAAAAATATGATTATATAGCAACGAAATATCATTTAGTACATTTTTCATAATTTTCTTCCTATTAAGGCATTATGTAAGGCATTCGTTCATTCAAATTCCTTGGAATATTCATAGACATAACATGATAATTTAAGCTAGGCCTGGGACGATATCGCGAAGACCGAAACAGCGAAAATCAGGGCATTTTTAAAAATGTTCCCAATATGGCGAAAATTTTTGATATGAGAAAAGTATATAATTAGTTTTAATGAAATATTAATAATTTAATGTGATACAGTAAATAAATTTAATAATTTAGGAACAAATTCAATTCAGTTTACAAGCAACTTTCTCATAAGAGATACTAATGAAAGTATAAATTTTTTAGCAATTGATTTTGAAATTTAGATGATTTTAGTCCCAAATTTAATTCAGCCAGCCTAAAATGCAAAAAGAAGATACAGAGGTCAGGCTTACTTCTGCTGAAGGTATAGATTTTTTTTTTTTATTATATTAAATTAAATTTCTTAGTGGCAAATAATTCAGCTTGCAAATGATGATAAATCAGCAGGAAAAGCAGCTATTGAAGATTATTATTATATGAATATAATATTCCTTTTTTCAACCCTTTAAATAAACATAATCAATAAATCTATTTTAGATGATTGTCATTTTCCAATAGATATACTGTTAATATTTTATGAATGCATATTGTATTATGATTGTGTTATTATAATATATATTATTCAGTGCAAATATAAATGATCAATCTCTCTATGCAGTGTACACTTAAAATTGAATGTAAAAGTTATTATTTAAAATATAAATAATTAAAAAAAACCCTTTATTTACTAATATTATTTAAATTTCTTAGTGGCAAATATTTTAGCTTGCAATAAATATAATATTCCTTTTTTTCAACCCTTTAAATAAACATAATCAATAAATCTATTTTAGATGATTGTCATTTTCCAATAGATATACTGTTAATATTTTATGAATGCATATTGTATTATGATTGTGTTATTATAATATATATTATTCAGTGCAAATATAAATGATCAATCTGTCTATGCAGTGTATACTTAAAATTGAATGTAAAAGTTATTATTTAAAATATAAATAATTAAAAAAAAACCCTTTATTTACATGAATAAATTTTTATAAGAAAGAAAGATATTTTGTTTGCCATGATTTTAAATTAAAATTACAAAAAATCAGTATTTATAAATTGAAAATATATAAATACCATATTTAGGATTTAAAAATGATTCATATTATATTAGGCAAGGCAATAACAATTGTGAAAAAATTAATAACATATTTATTGGTCTATAAGTTATTTTATTTTTATAATATAATTTAAAAAATTAATATTAAACATTTTTTTTTCCTTTATATTCGTCGGGAAGACCCATATTTAATTAAAAATACAATAAATATACAAAATATTAGAATTTTATTGATAATATTTAAAGATAGAGTTTATGTAATAGTCATACATTATTAATGTCATATAAAATTAATATTAAACATTATATTTAATTAAAAATACACTAAATAAACAAAATATTAGTATTTTATAGATAATATTTAAAGAAGATAGAGTTCATATAATGGCCATACATTATTAATGTCATATACAAAAAATTAGTATTTATAAAGGGACAATATATAAATACCATGATAATAAATTAATTTATTTGGAAAAAAATAACATATTTAATCTATATATATTAATAATAGATATAATATTATTTTATGACTTTTTAGTGAAGTTATATATAATGGGAACATTTTTTTATTTTTCGCTATTCTGATTTTCGCTGTTTCGTACCGAATTCATGTCCATGGTAACAATTCTATACCGATTTTTATTTTTAAATTTTTATATTAATATTTGTATTTTTTTATTAAATAAAGATAATTTGATTATATATTATTGAGTTCAAATCTCTTGATTTTAGTTTTATATTTCTTTCCAAAATGGATAATATCTTGTATTAATTATTTATATTCTGGGATATAACTACCTAATATTTTGCACTAACATTACCTCTTTAATTAATACTAATGTGGTACAAACCGATATCACAGATAACCAATACTTGTACCAAAATTAATAATTTAGTAGATTTATATTGAAAGAAGGTAAAGTTATAAAATTGCCAATTTTTTTTTTAAAGTTTTCAAACTTTGTTTATAAATTTTTAAATTCATAAAAATGTAAAGTGTAAGAATTAGCTCAAAATTAGGAATATCAGTAGTATCTTTATTTAATCATATAATGGTAAGATTCCATAACATAATTTTGAAGGTAAAAATTGTAAAATAATTATATTTATATAGTATGTTTAACAAGAAAAAATTTAATATAAGTATTTTCCATTATATTAACAAGAAGTATCTTTATTAACCCTTCAATACTCTGGTGGGGTATATGAAACCCCAGGCATGCTAGAAATGATATTGCATAAAAACAGTTAAATATTATCTGGATTTTTCAATAGCTTCATCAAATATATCTTAGAATCTACATTCCAAATTTCATACATTTCGGTTGAGTAGTTTTTAAGATATAAGCATTTTGTGACTGATTGGGTTTTTGAGACCCCACCAGAGTAAATTTGTATGTTCTATATTTTTTTATATTTGAATGTATTAGTGTAATTTTTTTTTATATCGAAGAATAAAGATCCATGTAATGAATTATCATGATTATATGATATATAAGTTAATTTTTTGATTTAATATTTTAAATTTAAAAAAAGTTAGCTTTTTTTTGAAAATTTTGGGACAAATATATTTCATCATTTTTAATTTAAACTTAAGAAATAAAGATAAATTATTTTACCAGGTTTAAGGTTAGTTCTATCTTATATTCAAATATTAAATCTAAATAATGAATATTGGAGATATATGCATTTGAAATTGGGGTCTATTAAACCCCACCCAAGTATTAACTTGATTTTTTTCACCGGAGTATTGAAGGGTTAAATTTAAATTCAAATAACATAATTTTGAAAGTAAAAATTATATCTCTAATGATGTAAAATAATATCATTTATATAGTATGTTTAATTATTTAACAAGAAGAAAGTTAATATATAAATTTTCCTTTATATTAACTTTTACATTTATTAATTTAAATATGTTTAAATATTTTATTTATAGCCACAAAACAATATAAAATAAATAATGTAAAATTATAATTTTTATATTGTTTTGTGGCTATAAATAAAATATTTAAATTAATAAATGTAAAAGTTAATATAAAAATATAAAATAAATAATGTAAAATTATAATTTTTATATTGTTTTGTGGCTATAAATAAAATATTTAAATTAATAAATGTAAAAGTTAATATAAAGAATTAAACATACTATATAAATGATATTATTTTACATCATTAGAGATATAATTTTTACTTTCAAAATTATGTTATTTGAATTTTAATTTAACCCTTCAATACTCCGGTGAAAAAAATCAAGTTAATACTTGGGTGGGGTTTAATAGACCCCAATTTCAAATGCATATATCTCCAGTTATATTCATTATTTAGATTTAATATTTGGATATAAGATAGAACTAACCTTAAACCTGATAAAATAATTATTTATTTTTATTTCTTAAGTTTAAATTAAAAATGAGGAGTAATATATTTGTCCCAAAATTTTCTAAAAAAAGCTAACTTTTTTTAAATTTAAAATATTAAATCAAAAAGTTAACTTATATATCATATAATCATGATAATTCATTACATGGATCTTTATTCTTCGATATAAAAAAAATTACACTAATACATTCAAATATAAAAAAATATAGAACATACAAATTTACTCTGGTGGGGTCTCACAAACCCCAATCAGTCACAAAATGCTTATATCTTAAAAACTACTCAACCGAAATGTATGAAATTTGGAATGTAGATTCTAAGATATATTTGATGAAGCTATTGAAAAATCCAGATAATATTTAACTGTTTTTATGCAATATCATTTCTAGCATGCCTGGGGTTTCATATACCCCACCAGAGTATTTAAGGGTTAATAAAGATACTTCTTGTTAATATAATGGAAAATACTTATATTAAATTTTTTCTTGTTAAACATACTATATAAATATAATTATTTTACACCATTAGAGATTCCCTTCTTTTAATTATATGTTTTTATATTGATTTTTTTGTTTTTAATATATATTTTTAATTCAATAGTGTATATAAATGTTCATGTTTTAATTTTTTTACCGAATAAAGTTTATCAATTTCAAAAAAAAAAAATTTTTGAGTATCATTTACTGATATGATTACAATCCAATACAGTACATTTCTAGAAAAATATATATACAGGGCTCTAGTCCTAAAATTTTGATAGAGGGCATGTTATTACTCTAGAAATTAGGAGAGGCTAGCTAAAATTGCTAAAAATAGAAATGAATTTTTTTTGTGAGATTTTAGTTAAAATATTTTTTTGGAAATTTTTAATGCATTTTTTAGTTTGTATCTACTAAGCATTTCAGAAAAAATACATTATATTATTTGAAATAGCTATTTAAAAAGTTATATAAAATTGGAATTAGAGATAGAATTCATAACCTACTTACTCTCAGATTTTCTATAATTTTACATGAAATAAAATATTAAGAATTCACTAATCAAGTCACATTTATAAATCATAATATTTATTTTAAAAAATGAAAAATACCAATATTTTTTTAAAATTTTAATTGCATTCGTCTTTCCTTTATTAAATGATTATTCACTATAGAAAATAATTGTTTCACTATAAGCTGAATTGAATTGGCTGGGGTTGACAAATTTTTTCTAATTTCTTGAAAAAAAGGAAGGATTCAAAATTTACAAAATTCAAAAACTTTTATAAATATTTTTTTGTTAAGTTTATGAAAATTATTAAATTAAAAAAAAAGAAATCTGTTTTGAATATAAACTTCTAAAGTAGTTTTATAGGAAAAATTCTTGTTATAATGTAAGGAAAGAGGCCAGGTTTTTAAAGATATTATTTTCTTAACTTTTCTGCTAATCGTGCAAAATTTCCTGTGGTTTTTTGGAAGGGTCCATCATGCCCAATCACTGTTCAAAATTAATCCCACTTATGGGCAGGGATTTTCACAGCCCCCACTCACTTCTAATTGAAATGCATTGCAAAAGTATATATTGCAATTATTATATTGCATAAATGATTTTTAAAATGCATTTCTTAATTATATGGAAATAATTATGATATGATACACAATTCGGATTTGATCAAAAAATTGGCTAAAAACTTAAAATAAAATAAAGAATGATTAAATAAAAGGATGACTTCTAGAATATTCTTCATAGCAAATCTTTTTTAATATTTTAATAACCATAACTAAACGTTTCCTTAATATTTATCATAAGCAGACCTATGACTTGTTTGCCATTTTTTTAATAGGAAAAGAATTCTATTTTACGGGATGAGGCCCATTGATATATATAATCATTAAATTGGAAATATGTTTTATTATAAGACGTATGAAAATTTGACAGTATGCTACATGGAATTGTTAACACAATTTTAAATCATGGTTGCATTTATTACTCTTATTATTATCATCAATATATTCTTGCGAGATCCACATCAAGCTTTAGTTTGCAATAAAGTGGTTATATTTGCTCCCATATCTTATATGATAACTAGATAAAACTGTATAATTTGATATAATATTTTTAATTATAGGAATTAGCATTATTAACTTATTTTTATTTCCTTTGATGCCATAGCATCTTCTTTAATATTATTAATTCAAAATTATTTCCCTAACATCTTGAACTTCATATTTTCTCCTAAATAAATATTTATTTAGAAATTATAAAAGTGATTTAGAACCTAGTGGGCATATCCACCACTGTACAACACGAATTGTTTGCTTTGTTATTTTTTCAGTTTTAGGCAAACTGATTGTTCTTGCCTGAAAGATAGATTAGAAAACTCAAATAGATCATCATACATTGAGGTGAAAATTCACATATCTCTATTCGATTGGATTGCCCATTAAATGGAAAAATATTAAATTCACTTGAACTCAAAATATGTATAAAGAGCCTCATAATTATTTTTACAATATAAAAGCTGATACAACCATCATACATTGAGTACTCTTTCAACCTTTAACAACTGAAATTCAGAAGCTCCCAAAGTTTTTAAATTTTTGTTAGATGAGCTATAAAACTAGATATCATGTCAATATATCTTGAGAGTGCTTAATGCCACTAAAACTTTATAGCATTGGGCACAGCTAATTATAAGACAATTTAAACAATGCCATTATATAATCTTTGGATATAGTACGCATAGGTAAGTTGCCCCAACTTTTTTCATTGATTTTGTTCTCTTGTAAAAATATACAGCTAATTAAAATTGATATAATATCATTCCCTATTTATTTTGGATCCTCTTTTTTTAAGAACCAAGACATTGGGAAAAATTAGATATAGACATTAAAAATATGCTGGTCATAAAATTCGTTTAAAATTTAAAGGGCCACCTAACCTGACTGTAAATTAAAATATCATCACAACAATTTATTTATGTAATAATTTTTTGATCTGAGTTAGAAATTATTTTTTTAACAAATCTGTTTCATCCTATTTTTTAAAATCTGACTTGTTTATGCTGAAGAAATAAAAAAAATCATACATAAAACTCTAAGATAGATTCCAATTCAATAGACTATTTTTTATGAACATATTAAGATGTTTCTAAGATACATTTTACAGAATATCTGGAACAACCTTCAAATTCTCTAAAAGTGGCATAACCATATTAGAGGGAATTTTTTTAAAATATATCAATAATAAAGTAAATCATAATTCAACCTGCTCTCAACTAAAAAATTGAGCTCTTTTATCCTCTTCTTTTATCCTCTTCTTTTATACTCATTTAAATATAAATAATTATCAGGGAGGGGGAGGGAGATGCATTTGATATGCTTAATAACACCACTGTTTGTGATGTTTACTTTACTTTTTAAAGCAAAAAATCAATGAATTACTCATAAATGTTTTAATTTTTTCTTCCAATTTCTCATATGTCTTCATTTATTTTATTAGCCAAGTGATGTAGTAATGTATATCTGACCTTCTCAGTAAATATAATATCTCAATTTATCATCAGATTCATCATGTGATAATAAATTAAAATTCTAATTATCTGCACTGCATGGTACAATTATTTTATTTCAATATATTGATGTTCTTCTATGAATAATTGCAATTTTATATAACTTATTTCTTATTTATTTAATGATGGATGAATAATAAATTTTCCTATTTTTACACAAAACTCATCTAGCAAGAATATATTTTTTATATTATAAATTACAAATACAAATTAATAAAAATTTAGTTTAAAAGATTTTTTATTGTGCACATAAATTTATATAATAACCATATACTTCATAAACAAAATTTATAAAAGTATAAGGAAATTTTTAGAATAACTCCTCATATAAATAAAAATAAATTTTTGAATCACATCTCATAAGATAGGAAAATTTCTGATTCATTCATCATCAAACAAAGGAAAATTTATTATTCATCTATCATTGAATAAAGAAGAAAATCTGATTCCCCATCATTCTTGATAGGCAATCAGCTAGTAACTTATATTTTTGATAACGGGTTCTTAGAAGAAAAATATATGTAAAAGGAAAGGTCGGCATTATTTTTTTTATTAAAAAAGGATTAATATTTCTTCCATTTATACACTTCACAATGGCTTTCTTTATTTCCTTGTATACAACAATTTCTTGAATCCAGCAATTATCAGAAATTTTTTGCAAATGATTAATGATTAAGGCATATCTTTGGTTTGAGTTTTCCTTTAAGTTCAAATAAAGTCAGATGGAAAATGAAATAATTCAGTTATTGAAATTAGAGACCTTTACGGGACTTGATTTTCATCAGCCTCCAGCCCAGGTCAGCAGTAAAAATAATTTGCAGGCCCAGTCCATATTTAATAAAATATTCAAACCCAAGCTCATCATAAGTTTCAAAAATTTTGACCAAGCCTATATCCGAAAATTTAATTTATTGTTTTAAATGAATAAATAAACAATATTTAAGTTTATTTAGGCAATCACTTTGTTTGCAATAATGACATTTAGACATTTAGACATTTATTATTATTAGAAGAAAAAAAATTCAATATATTTTTAAGTTAGGAACAGTTTAATAGGCTAAATTTAAATGAAAAATATTTAGTCTTTTTATCAAAAACCCTGTCCTGCCCCAGGCACGTTAGTAAATATATACCTGACATCCCTCATTGAAATATTTTGTCACCTGAGTTAGAGATTATTCTTTTGTCTATTTTTTTTGATTGATTGATTATTTAAGAATATATTAATCTATTTACATAAAAAAATCTAAGAATTTTAACTTATAAATAAATTATAGCTAGTAATAGATTATTCTATATCCCTATTTTTTCTTACTGATAAGAATATATTATTCTGATTCTTTAAAACATTTTCAAGTATTGAATTAAGAGTTTTTTAACTGATGTATGGTTTCATATAAAGATCCTGATATTACTGGTTCAAAAAACAAAAAATTAAAAAGAATATTATTTGATATTATTTTATAAAATTTTTGGATTTAAAGAGAAGTTGTTTGGAAAATAGAATAATATTTCTTAAAATAAAAAATAAAATTTGGTATTTATTCTATCTCCAATTTTAGAATAATAATAAAAATGATTTTTTTAGAAATATATCATAATCATGGTATTTTATATAATTAAGTGATGAGTAACTATTAAATATACACATGAATTTCATATAAAACCTTCTCTTATCTCAAAAAATCATTTAAATGCTTTTAAGACCTTCATAAATACTTTTTTAAATAAAGACCTCCTAACATAGATTTGAATCAAATATGGGGTCAACCTGATTATATCACAAAAACTATGTGGTGGTATTCATACCATTAGCTATTTAGAAGATTATTAACAAAAATAATTGCTATGGGTCAAAATCCAGAGTCTTAATTTATTAAGTATACATAGCAATTAGGATTGAGTGTTAAGGGAGAAGTCAAAATAGCATGCCATTCGTATTATATTCAGAATCCTCATCCTAACATGGATATTATCAAAGTCTACTTTAAAATGTTTTGATAACAAATTTCAAGAACATTTCATTAATTGTTTTACTCCTAAATTCCTAGAGATATACATAGTAAAATGTGTTAGAGGTAGCTTGTCTTGTCCTTCACTGCGGAAACACACAATTAAGTGGCTTCCTCCACCCAAAAGGGGGCATATGCAGTGCAGTGATCTGCATCCACTCTATGGCAGTAAAATTTACCCTTACCATCAAATATTTTGTTACAATTATGGATTCATGTAATCATTCAAAAATTCACTAATCTATTGAAACAAATACTAAATATTCTATTCTTACCAATGTAATTACTGTCGGGCCCTGACAGTAGGGTAAATTACTGTCAATTATAGGATAAGGTATGATCATCCTTCTTTAATTAAATGGGCCCTGATAGTAGGGTAAATTTTGATGCAAATTCACTGCACTGATGATTAGATGCAATGATATACCTAATTAAATTTTTTATAATCATTCATTAATGTTATTTCTAGATTTACCATCAAATATTTTGTTACAATTATGGATTCATATAATCATTAAAAATTCACTAATCTATTGAAACCAATACTCTAAAAAGATCTTATTTTTAAATTTTTACCAATGTAAATTACTACCGGGCCCTGACAGTAGGGTAAATTACTGTCAATTAGTGGATCAGTTGCCATCATCCTTCTTTAATCAAAGGCTCTGACAGTAGGGCAAATTTTACTCCCAAACAGTGGATGAAAATTCACTTCACTGGATATGCCCCCTTTTGGGTGATAGAAGCCACTTAATTGAGTTTTATTAAATGCAATGACATACCTTAAATTTTTTTATTAAATATTAACAGTTGAGTCTTTAAATCTTCCATCAAGTTTATTCTGAAATCTAGATATTTGAGTCATAATAATATTTTCAGAGTTTCCATATGATTTATAAATAGAACTGACTGAATGAATGTTTAGTTTGTAAGGTGATTACTATTGGACAGATTATGCTACATTTTTATGAACAAATAAATTTTAAAAGAACACTATTGGCTAAATTTGATTGACAGTTTTTGAGGATTATTATAATAGATTATTTTACATATTGTAATTGTAATTTTTCTTGTATTTCCTAGTTAAAGGTTAAATATGAGAAATCTAGTTGGTATATTATATAAAAAGTATTAGTCAAACTATTTTTATTTAAATCGAAAATTTTTTGAAGGTGATATATATATTTATTCGTTTATAAATAAATATTATTTAATAAAAAATTTTTGATAGATACTTTATATTGTGGTAATATAATCATGGTATCGTTATGTTACACTCCCACTTTCTAAAAATTTACCAAACCTGAACCGGGGTCTACCTGGCCCAAAAGTGTTTTAAAAATATCCAAGCCACGACTTTTACCTAACCTTCCCGGGTCTTGGTATACTGTTTTTGTTATTTTATTGTATACTATGTTTTTTTAAAAAAAATTTGATTATATATATTTGGTTAAACGATATATTAGGGCTGCACTGATCTACCTTTTAGCCAACGCTAAAACCGATCCGATAGCAATTTTTACTAATTTATATTCTTATCTTATTTTATGAGAAGCCCCCTCCCTCTCCTTGTTTACACCAATATAGTGAAATATTTTATAAAAATTATATTCCATTATACTACCTTTCATGGTATGTTTTGTAATTAAACATAGTTTATAATTAAGAAGTCCATCGAGCCATCAACATTTAAAAAAAAACTATTTCCACTAGGGGTATACCGATACAACTTTTTGGAGGCCGATCCGATCCGATATTCTCGATATTAAATTGATATCAAGCTTACCGGCGATCCGATATCATATTTAATTATGTAT